GACAAGCACAAACATATAAAAAACAACATAACTGCTATTTTCTGCAGCACTAAGAAATCCCTTGGCGGCCATTCCAGGCACAGATTCAGGAAAGGTCAGCAACTGCATGGGACAATCATCCCCATTCCACACTTGCACCATGGGATTAGGACTACAGTCCAACACTCTGCAGCAAGCAGTAAATTATGATGGGTGGGGGAGAAGCCAGGGCTGCTAAAGCTGCATAAACCAAACTTTCTCCTTCACACTTTCTATCATGTTTCTTGAGGGGACTCTATGGGTTCTATTCTGAGCCCCTCATCAGTTTGATACAGGTTCCTCAGGCCTTTCCAAATTATGTTCACCTCTAAATACAGACCATTTTTGCAAAACTGAAGTAAGCCTCTTGTTCTGGAAAGATATTCTTGGTACAAATGCTTCTTTCCAAATGACAACCCATCCCGATTCCTCCATCCCCATTCAACTCCTAAAGGGCTACAGAGTGATACTGAAAGCATCTAAAACAATACACTTTCAATTAGAGTTCTAATTGTCTTTGTTTTGGCTTTAGCCAAAATTGACCTCTTGGCTGCCTGACAAAGCTTGTTTGGATACAGACAATCCCCACTCCTCACGCATAGCACCAGTGTCTCCTTTTGCTTATGTGAGCAGTTTTATTTGTCCTAAAATTGTTCATCCACGTAATTACCATACAATCATTTAATAAGAAGAATGGATGATTTTTTAGCACTTTTATTCTCTTTTTTGACTGATTAGTTCCCTTAGAAGGTGATTCTAGTGTCCCCACAATGGCAGTCAGGATCTTATCTCTTTGAAATACTGAACCGATTTGTTTGGTTGGTAGGAGACGTACTGTAATGCTAAACATACACGGTCATTTCAATAATCCCAAATCAAACTGTTACTGAACTTTACTATTGCAGATACTGGCATTTAAAGTTCAGAATGGTCATATAGTAATACATTCAATAGATAACTTATGTAAAATCTACACATTGCATTTCAGAGTATCTGTTATGAGAAACACACTGATCTAAGTCAGGCGTCAGAATATTTATCAGCTTGAGGCCATTTAGAATATTTTAAGTTGTTTATTAAGGATATACTTCCCCACGGGAATCTACTTACCTTTCCTGGATTTTACAGAATGGTCTGGGTTTATTCTTATAGCAGCACTTCAACCCTTATGAATATTCTTTCAAATACACCGATTAATGTAGTTTTTTTCAAGTATCTTTCAAAATAGCCACAGTGGCATCTGGTCTGACTTACACCAAGGGTCTCACTAGGAAAACTAAATTCTTTTCCCAATAGGAGGATGCTTATATTCCTTCCTCCTACCAATACAGGAGGAGGATGCATGTAACATGAAAGAGACCTGCCTTGAAAGAAAACCAAACATGTTCATCTTGTCTTTAAGCAGAGGATTTGAATATTTTCCCTCAAATTCAGTGTTCTCTCAAACCAGTAACTTTCTTGGCCTCTGATAGCTATTTGTAGTGTTCTGATAAAGGTTTTACATGCAAACAGTTCCTATATATCATTCTCTCAAATGCTCTCTTTGAATTTCACTTTCATACTGAATTTCATAGGTGAATTACTTTCTTTTTAACTACTACCTCCTGAGAAATAAGTCCATGAATGAAAATAAGGATAGATATCACTTTTAGATGTGGATCCAGTGGGAAGCCACGTGAAATGCAATGAAAGCCCACAACATGTGATGATCACAACAATCTTAGAAAACACTTTCATTAATGACCTACAAGAAGGAGAAAAGAATGTTGAAAGATGGGAGAAACTGCAAACTACAATGAAAATGATACGGTTTATATGGTTTAGTGGTGGTCTTGGCAGTCTTGGGGTAATGGTTGAACTTGATGATCTTAAAGGTCTTTTCCAACCTAATTGATCCTATGATTCTAAAATGCAAAAATACAGAGCTCTCTTGAGCAGTTAGAAACTCATGCAAGAAGGGGCACAAAGATTACATGAGGAGCATTAAGTGATGGTAATAGATTCTAAGCAAGATTTACTTCACTCGTAACTACTTTCTGTAGTTTTGCTGCAGAAATTCTTTCTGCAAGATACAAAGATGTTTACATGTTCCAAATCCCAGGAGGTTGTCCAACTATTCAGTATCACTAGATATATCTCCTGCTCTCATACTCTAACATCCAACTCTTGCCAGTGTCAGACATAGTAGGGATGTTATTATGCTTGTTAGCCAAAGTTAATAAAATGACATAAAACCAGAATACTGAAGGGAAAATCCTCAGGATAAAAAAAAAGGAATCTGTCTAAAAAAAAAGCTTGAAGTGACTGAATTAGATAAATAGAATAAGTACGGAAGCAAGTAGACTGGTGCTAATCTGAGGCTGTTTCTGCAAGGACTCAGAGGTCCTGCTGAACCCAGTGTGCAGCTGTGGGCATGTGGTCCCTTATCTCCAGGAAGGCTGACAGGCAGGATGGTCTTCACAGAAGAACAACCACATGATTAAGAGACTGGTGTGTGATTTATGAAGAATGATTTTAAGAAAAGATCTTCACAGCTTGCTTAAGTGATGATGAAAACCAAAAGTGACAGCCAGGAGAAGAAACAGCTTAGATTTATTTAAAGAGTACGAACACCATAACAAGGTGGAAAGAATTAGGCTCATACAAAAGGGGCTAAAGTTGAAGAGTAACATGAGGTGAAATATCAAGAAGCACGCCCAAGGTTGGGAATCATCTTGTCATAGCTTGTGACACACAAAAGAAAAAGTATGAACAAGGAAACTTCATAAAATATGTGGTAAGGGACAATTGGATGGTGACCCATTGAAAAGGTCAGTGGTGCTTGGGACTCCTACATGGCCCTGATGCTCATCCACCCTGGCAGGGTGCTCATGCTCTCACACAACATGTGCAAAATGATTCTGCTGTTTCTCATTATTTAGCCTTTCACGATGAGCAAAAGTTATTACTCACAAGCACTTTGTTCTGGAATACAGATGTCATTAGCAAAACCTAATGTTCAAAACAGCCACACCACATAGTGCTTCTGCTGTCCAAGTCTAACCTGATCTCTAGGGCAGAGAGGTCACAGTAAGGAGCACTCCTAGGTTTAAAACCTCTGCAGTACAAGAAGAGTAGGCAGACGTTCATTAGCCAGTTGCAGAATGGCAAGTTGGCAGAAAGTCAGTGATAGCTAAGATATATTAGCCACTGTTTCACTCCAAATCAGATAAAACACTGCGTCTCAGCACTAGAAAGATGCTCCAGGTGCTGAAGCAGTACATGCAATGTCCAGCTCTGCTTTTTTGTCATAACATCTCCCTCCACCTCCCCCATAGTGAACACCCTCAGCTCTGGCCAGGAAAATGGTGCCTCTGCAGTTCAACATACACTGTACCACTAGATTAACCTCTTCCTTGGAAAGGTCCTTTATAGGTAATTGAAGGATCTTATTTTCAGTCCAGCGTCAGATGGTGGGTGCAGGCAACACTAAACTCCTGACAGGTCTCTCTCCTCTTGACTTAATGTCCTACAGGATCACAAGTGGAGAAGTGACCAGCCAGCCAGCTTACTCTCTCCAGAGGCAAAACATCAGGTCATGTTGCTCAGTGCAAGATCCTAATGCATCAGGTAGGACTTCAGATGATGGGCCATTATTTGTGAGGACCATTGAAAAACATGTCAGCAGGCAGGTTATCTACAAGCCGTTAGGTCAGCAGGAGTCTTGCCAGTGCAACGGGAGAAGCACAACTTGCTCTTATAAAAACGTCACTTGATTAAGTACAAAAATGCGGATGGTGAGGGGCGCTCTGGACTGAGGGGAAAAGGGCTGCACTTTTGTTCAGGATGATCTCTCTGTCCCTATGCAGGGTCATGCCTCAGCAGCTTCTAGCATCAGCATCATCTTGCTGAATGCCCTCAGAGTTTCCAAACTCAGGAGGGAGCAGCCTCCTGGGCCACCTCTTTAGCAAAGAAAGAACACAGGCTGAAGGAACAGATTGGTGGGTGCTGGGCATGCATGAGGGACTGAGCAGAAGGAGGAACCAGGGGAACCTGGACCCTCCCAACACCACCTGGCACTCAGACCAATTCTTCTCATAGAAACTGCTATGTACCAGCCACAGAGGCAGCCCCTGCCACTGCACAGGGCTCCAAGCCCCAGCCAGCCAAGAAACATCATCTGCACGGAGGAAAGCAGCAGAAGCTGCTGGAGTCCACTCTTGTGAACATCTGTCCGAGCACATCGTGACTTCCACAACAGCTGTAAGTCTTCTCCAGCTCTTGGGGCTGTAATGATTGCCCAGTGGCTGATGCTGCTCCTTACCACCAGAGGATTCACCAGTGAGATACCACCACTTCAATCTAACCTCCTCACAGGGGCATGACAGGACTGGCATGCAGTTAAACTTCAAACATTAAAAATCATTAACAAAACCTTATCCCCAGAACCTTTCAGGGAAGCTTCACTTGAGGAGGCAAGCGCAGCTAAAGTGCTGAGACTGTGCAGACACCTCACTGGATGGTGCAAACACCTCACCATGTCACTGCCACACTGCCGTCCTACCCACGGCGGTATGAGCTGCCTACAGCATCTCTGTGCCGTCTCTGCCCAAACGAGAAATGAGCTCTTTCCCTCCCACACTGCGCACCCAGACCTGATCTGTAGAGGGCTCTCTTCTTGCCTATGCCACCAAGACCTCGAAGTGCTGCGGTCTTTCCTTGCACACCAGTTCCCCCTTCAATGATTTAGGATTCCCTCTGTTCCACACATACGGTCACTGATACAACATGCCATGTACAGCACATGTTGACATACAAACATCGAACACAAATCTGCCAAGAACAGCTGATCTGGCTGCCTACTCATCAAGAGCAGGGGAGTGGACAGCCTGGTGGGGCGTATTCAGAGCAGTATCATCCTTCCAGTGTCACTACCTTATCTTCAGGGAGGGATGAATATGGCTGAGAGGAGCAGGATAAGGGGGTCCAAGAAATATGATTACCTGTATCCTGTCTTCTGGCAATTCTGTTTTCATGGCCAGCATCTCTCTAGCATATACATCAGGATAGTGGGCCTCATTGAAGGCCTTTTCCAGCTCCTCCAGTTGGTAGGATGTGAAGATTGTCCTGAGGGGAGTAAAACTCCTTGATCAAAAAACATAAGAAGTAGCAGCAAAGATGATGAAGAGTCAGAGAAATGGACACAGAAGCTACAGAAACCTGGGTAACCTGCTAATGCATAGCTTCCCCCCAACCCCCCACCCCACCCCCCACCCCCCCCCCCGTGTTTCTGTGCACAAAAGGTCAGGTGCCAAGGTGAAAGCAGAAAGAGAAAATGTCAGAAGACAGCACTTTAAACAGTTACAAATCACCTTCCCTTTCAGGGATTTGCCTCTGGAGACAGTCCCTTCCCAGCAGCAGCACCTGCAGCCAGCACCGATGACAGCTGTTTTTACACCTCTGACTCTGCTGCCTCTTGTGAGGATCCTGGGGATGTCCCTGTCCCTCACCCCCCTACAACGGTGTAGCCACCCCTGGCCTGGCTTAACTCCACCACCACATCCCCTCCCCTCCTCCCCCCCGATCTTGCATCCAGAGGTTTCTTAACCCTTTGGTAGTCACATTGAGATAAAGCAGCATCTCAGCATCCCATCTGGAGAGGCACTGAGCCCTTTCCAGCGGCTGGTCCTTAGCCTCTTCAATCTCCACGAGCAGATTATCCTCCCCTGGAGCCCTGGTCCTCGTCTGAATCCTCCAAATGTCTTAACCACTCTTCTCCCCGCTGCTTTTCACCAGTCCTTCCCTATGAGAGCCAGTGCCAGCTCCTTTCCTCTGACTTTACCCTGGTTGCTTCCGCACCGATATCCCACTAGCTGCTCCCTGCCAGTTTGCATTACCCCATTATCCTCTGAAAATCCTTCTGGACCGCCCTGGGTGGGCAGCAGCCCAACCCGCCCCTGCACAACCAGTTCTCAGCTCAGGACAACCAAATTGAAAACCTAGCAGCTGGAAAGCCGAGACGGATGAAAACCCTTCTCCAGGGGATGGATGAGAGGTCTCGAACCGCTTCCACTCCACAGAGGGCTAAAAATCCCATCCTACACAGCCCCCGCCCTCGTTCACAAAATGAAATTTTTGATAAAAGAACCAGCAACACTCCAATGGGGGCAGAGGTGGGAGAAACCAAACACCACCAAAAAACCCAATCAAACAGAAAAACAACCAAACCAAACTGAACAACAACGAATTGCAGCCTTTGTTCAAAGAACATACATAAATAGTTTATACGACTGAAGAATATATATCTCCCAGAAGGGGGAAGGAAAGAGCGGGGGAAAATTCTGTTTTTAAAATGCATCCGAATTTCAGAAAAGCCCTGCAGTTCCAGAGGACATAAACAGAAATAACCCCCGCCATTCAGAATCCGAAGAATTCCACCAGGTCGATTACATTACTAACAAAAGCAGCATGCAAATGCAAGGGACCTGCCTGCAACAGACCCTTCTTTAAATTCACTCCTAAATCCGTTCTCTTTTCAAACAGTTTTCCTCTGGCTCCTACAGATCTGTGAACTCTAGGGACAGCAAAGGCACATCAACGAGTGTATTTTCTTTCTCTGGGACCACAGGAAAAATTATTCCGATTTCGATCCCGTTTGGATTTCAAGCATTCCCCTTCACCCTCCTCTGAGAAGAGCGCTGAAGCCCAGCAAGGCTCACCGGCGGCAGGGTGAAGCTGAAGTTTCCCCCTTTCAGCATCTCAGTCCCTGTCTCTTTTGCGATCCACAGTCCACTGTCCCTTTTGCTGTTTCTATCCTGCAGCTATTTTCAGACTATCGGCCTGTCACATCCCAGCCCTTTCTTGGTACAACTAGAGGTCTTAACCATTTAGCACAGAATATACAATTACAGCTAAATATTGTGGGTCTGTTTCTGTCTAGAACTGAAAAGAAACAGATCTGGATTTCCTTTCCTCTCTCCCGTCCTAGACCATGACCCCTGCACCAGCCCCTGATGTGTTTTCACCCAGCCCTGTCCGGCCCACGAAGAAAAAGAAGCCCTATTTACCGCAGGGCACCCAAACTGGGAGCATCTGCCTGGGGAGCGACCCCGGGTTTGGGATGAGCCCTGCAGACCAAGAGTTCTGTAGCTCAAACGCAGGATGTCTCCCGGGACAGTCGGTTTCCTTCCACCCTGCATCCTGCTGAGCTTTCACTGGGGCATCTTTTAATCCACCCTTCCTGCACCCTGGCAGGATTGATTTAATTATTCCTAAATACCCTCGGTGGCTGGTGTCTGGCTTTCCTTTGTCCTGACTTTCCGGCCACAGCAGTGCCAGAAACCAGCATGGCATTTTTCGTTTCTGTGTATAAGACACGTTTTAGCTGTGGGGGAAGCCAGGCAAAGTCTATCATTCTGCCCTATCCCGAGGGAAACGAAATCCAAAGAGGATCTTCGTTTCCTTAACCAATTCTCTAGCCTTTGGCTTCTCTGCAGGCTGCGTCTGATTCGCAACCACTTAATCTTTTGGTAAAACATTTATTTGTAAGTAATAAAATAATTAAATCGTTGATAGAAATTCTCTCTGACAGGCAATATTAAGGTTGTTATATAGGGAGCAGGGGACAGGTTTGACGAGGACCCCCGCCCCAGGCAGGGGTGATCCGCATCCAGCCCAGATGCTCACGGGCTGCTCGGGTTTGCGGCTCGGGATACCTGGATCCGCAGCCAGAAAAATTAAACAAAGAGACACCTGTGGCCGATCCCCTGCTCCCTAAAGGCGCCTGCCCAGAGCCGATCTGTTTTGGACCGGGAGAAAGTAAAAAGGAAAAGGCAGAGGGAAGAAGCCGCAGCGGCGCCGGGGCGTTCCCGCGGCAGGTGCGGGAGGGCTATTTCACTCCGGGCCGGAGCGGGGAGGGAACGCGTCGGGCCGCCGGGACGGCGGGGCTCACCGCTACCCGGTATCTTGGAGGGGATGGCGGGAGCCGGCAAGGTAGAGGCCGCTCGCTTACCTGTGCCGCCTCTTCTTCCGTTTCTTGCTCTGGTTTAGGGAGGATTTGGACATTTTCCGGTCGCTGGAGGAGACATCCTCGGAATCTGCGGAGAGACAGGCAGGGCCGTGGGCTTCGGGCCCCCGGGTAGGGTCGGGCCCGGCGGCTCCGTTCCCTCCGGCGGCTCTGGCCGAAGGTTTCGTTGCGATGATGCCGCAGACGGGGCCCGCCGCCGGCCGCTCTCTCCAACCCGGCGCGGCCCCAGCTCCGGCCCCAGTGCTGGTCCCAGTTCCGGTGTTGGTCCCGCTCCGGGGCCATCCGCCCTCGCCAGGGAAGGCTCCGGGCAGGGACAGGGCTCTCGCACTCCCCTCTCTTCCCCGGAGTCGTTTGCTGGGGCTGCTGTTGTCTCGCTGCTAAAATGCACACCCGGCAAGCTCAACAAAACCGTAGGAAAAGGGAAAAGCTGGAGCTCCCTCCCCGCGGCCGGGCACTGCGGCCGCCTGCCCCAGTCCGGGGATCTCGGACTGCCCCGCAGAAACACGGGAGCGGGGAGGGAGAAACTGAGGTTTATGAAGCTACGGGAAAAAAAAAAAGAAAGGAAAAAACCTCCCGGGACAAGCTTCTGCCCGTCCCCGTTCCCCGCTCTCCGGAGATGGCCGGCCGGGGTGTGTTAGGGGCAGGAAGCCTTGAAGGAGCCGCCGGGTGACAGAACCGGGACCCTCATTTCGATGCCTGCCGCTGTGCCCCGCGGCGGCCCCGGCTGGCCCCGGGCTCTGGCCCCGTTCCTGCCCGCGGCGCCCCGCCACTGGCCCTACCTCGGCGCCGTGCTGCTCGGCAGGCCGTGCTGCGGGCGGCGGCGGGCACCGCTCGGGCTGGGCACCGCGTCGGAAGGCTCCGGCCGCTCCCGGGAGGACCCTGAGGACGTCCCCCGGGTCCGAGGCCGGGCCCAGGGCCAGACACTGCTGCCTGCCGCGCCGGGGGAACCCAAGGCGGCCTGGGAGCGGGGCTTGCGGGCAGGGTTGCAGGCGGCTGCTGCCGTCTAGGAAAGGGGTGCCGAGCGGCCCCTTATTTCCCGGCAACGAGCTGGGGCCGCTGGAGAAGCGCTCCGCCGAACTCCGCTCATCCGCGGGCCGGGCACCCACGGCCACGCCATCACGTAGCGGCTGCAGCCCCGCACGGCGAGGGAATACGGTTCCACCCGCCCGCACTTCTCCTCTTTGAGACCGAAACGAAATCTTCCTCCCGCAGCCGAGCATGGGGCCTCCCGGCGGGGCAGCGGGTGCCGGAGGCTGCCGGGAGCGGCTGGCGGTGCTGACGGGGCGCGGTGGGTCCCCGGGGACCAGGGACGTGCCTACCTGAGCTGGCCGTCTGGCTGCTGTCCAGCTGCCCGGGGGCCCGGGCCAGAGGCTGCAGGTGGACGCTCTGGGGGTCGGAGAGCACCTCCAGGAAAGTCGGCTGGGTGTAGAAGCCGGGGATGCCGCCGGCCCCCAGCAGACCCATGCTCACACCGCCCACCCCGGCGGGGCTGAGCACGGACCGGGCCGCCAGCAGGTGCCCGGCGGGCAGCGAGTCCAGGGTGGCCCGAGGGTGCGACGGCGGCTCCTTGTTCAAGCCCAGGATCTCCTGGATGCCGAAGCCGGTGCAGCGGGGAGGGGTGGGCCCGGAGCTAGGCTTGGACCCTGCCGCGGGGGGCGGCGGAGGCGGCGGCGGGGCGGCGGGCGCGCCGTCGAGCTTGGGCTTACCGGGCAGGCTGGGGGCCAGCGCCGCGCCCGCTTTGCCCGTCATGCTGCGGCCGCCGGTCCCTGGTGCCCGCTCCGGGAATGCCTGGGAGCCCCCGGCTCAGGCCCCTTTTATCCGCCCAGCCGGGAGCCCGAGCGGGGTCAGAGCCGCGCAGCCAATCACAGGGGCCAGCCGCGATTAGGGATGCCAAAAAGTCGGCACCGGCAGCGGCGGGGCCGGTGCTCGGTGGGCTGAGGCCGGTGCCTGTGCCCATCAGCGGGCTGGGGCTGCTGCGCGTCCCTGCGCCGAGAAGGGCTGCCCCGGCCCCGCTTCTTCTCCAGCGTGAGGGGGGAGGTGGGGTTGAGGGGGACGGAGGCACCCGCAGCTTTCTTAAACACGGCTCCAGCCTGGCCTCACACAGCTCAGGGCACCAGCCCGGATGAAAGATGGGCAAAGCAGCCGTGTAGGGAAACGCAGGCATCCCCGGCTTTCTTGCTCATTTGTGTCCTGAGATAAATAAGTGGACAGCAGAGAAACAAGAGCGCACAGAGGAAACCTAAAAATTAAACCCGAGCAGCGTTCCTTGAAAATGGATGTTGGAGGAACATCCGGCTTCACACTGTCAGAGGTGGTGACATAGATTCTTGGACTCTCTATATTCTTGGGCCACATGGTTCTTCAGTAAATGAGAGTGTCTTTCACAGCCCTTGGGCAAGATGCAGCACACCTCGACCTCACCAGCCCTACCCTAACCAAAACCGAGAGAAAGCCTAAGGTATTCCCTCTTCCACTCAACCTGAGGCAGCAGTTCCACCACAGCATGTACCTTGATAGTGGTTTAGGAGACGCAGCCTGGCTCCTAAAGTCTGCTCACAGGGGCTGATTAATCACTGGGACAGCAATCTAGGGCTGGGGCAGATAAGCACAAAAAGCCCACCTTCCACCTCAGCTTTGAGGGGAAGCAGTGCCCCAATCCTACTCAGTTTCACAGGCCTCTGGGATGGTCTGTCAGGCCAAATTGCTCCTGCCTTACTGTGAAGTGAGGCTCTCCTGGTCTCTGGAGGAGGCTCTGCAGTGCCCGGTGTCTGACGGCACACTGAGGGCTGGGAATGGCCTCTAAAATTGGTGGGATCTGTCCAGGATGGCCACAGGTGTTTTGAACTGCTCACAGGCCATGTCCTGTGTACTTTGGGAAACTTGGTTTATAAGTCTTGGCCTGGCAAAGAATCAGGGCTGCTGTAGATGCCAAATACGACACCTTCCCTGAGCACACTTGAGGGCATCTCCACCATGATGGCAGTATAGCTGAGGCCGTCTCCTCTCAGAGCTCTGGGACAGTCATGTACCAACTCAGCGTTTCAGATTGTAAAGCAACTCGTGCCTCCACAGTGATGAAATTGCTTGTAAGAGGTGAATGAAGACTTCCAGGGTTCTGTGTGGGCTGGCTGCTCCCTAAGGGACAGGGAGCTGGAAGCCAAGTGTGCTAACACAGCCATGGGAACAGGGCTCCCCTCAGGGATCTCATTCCACTATACCTGAGCAAGGGGAGCAGAGCCATTTGTGGGCATTAGCCAGGCTCAGTCACCAGTCCATGGGGATAAGGCAGATCCGGGTTCAAGCTGGGAATCGGGTCCGTGGCTCAGGCCCCATGTGAGTGGGTGGCACATCCAGGTATAGGCATGGCTGCACTGTAGCGCAGGCAGGAGCCAGGAATGAGAGCCTCAGCTTGAAAGCAGCTGCTACGGAAAGGAGGGAGGAAGCTCTGCTGAGGATCCCTCCCGTCTTTCCCAGTAACAGCCTGTATCAGTGCACTGACCTTGAGCAGCCAGCTGGACTCCTGGAAGGTTGGGAGGCCGTGTCCTGTCGGGGACACCACAAGCCATCCTACCACCTCAAACCTTGTTTGTAACTTGTCTGCTTTAGCTAATGCACGGTTTGTCCTCTGTTCCACCCCACTGAGGCTCCTCAGGAATGGTACACAATTTTCCTTTCCCAGCATTCAACCTAGCATTACAGAAGCCCTGCCTCAGCATGACTATTCCAGTTCGGATAAACATTCAAGCTGTCAGGTTGCCAATATATTATTCAGAACTTTATTATAATTACTCTAGTTCTCAAGTTCTCCAGGAACTGAATAAAATTTCTCCAGAAACAGCTTCTCTCCATACATCTTCAATGCAGCACTGCATTATCTGGGTTACATGGTCCCAGGCTGCATGCAGTCTGCTGCAGAACTAAGGCCACCAGGTCTGAAGCCCTGTGAAACATCACAACTGCCTCTGTTTGGTACCAGTATCTGTGTGAGGAGGTGTATGCTGTGGTGCTGCCTAAAGAACTGCCCAGGGTTCACACAGGATGTAGAGAGGCATAGAGGCCGCTTCTCAACTGGAGCCCATGTACTCACTGCTCTTTGCACACCATGCTTCCTCCCCTTTTCCCTTCAGTCCTTTCTCTGCATCTCTACCCAAGGACAGGTACAAGGGGTGTCGGCTATTTGACAACGTTTTCTACCTCAAGCAGTACTGCTACAGAGCCAAACCTGACAAGCCCATCACAGCTTATCAGCCTGAGGTTCACTCCACAGCATGTGTCACCTCTGTCATTTTCTGCCTTCTTGACTGGTGATTTGAAGTAATCACTCTAGTTCATACAAAGTTAATTCACTGAGCACTGTCAAGCCATACAAGTATAGACATAGGGTCTTGCTGATACATACTAGAGTTTCTTGGTGTTTTCATTGCTTTGCTCCAAACACTTTATCACCTGTCCACTGGGGTGTCTTGCTGGCTTTGCAGTGGAATGTCACCCAATGGTACCTTGCGTACCCTCACCTCCCTTTCTCCTGTGGGTGCTGGAGAGCCTTCCATTCTCCTGACCTTGCCTCCAACACTGTGAGGACAGCTCTGACCCCTCTGACAAGTTCTTTGTGAGTCTGCCCTCTGAGCTAAAAAATGCAGGGTTTGGCTGTCTGCTTTTCACTATGACTTCTCTTCTTCCTCTATGCCACTCTGAAAGCAACTGTGATTAGGAAACTGAACTTACATTTCAATACTTGTTTCAATACCTTTGTGGGTCATCTCTGGCAACATTTTCAACCTGTCTTGACCAGAAGTTCTGGCTTTATTTGAGCTTTCCTTAGCTAAATGGCTCAGGTGCTCTCCTGGGGAGGGGAACATCAGCAGCCTCAGGTCCTTTCACATTTTTTCTGATCCAGCTCATCATTTGCCTCCTTCCATTGTTCTGCTGCACTATCCTCGATGCTGAACTTCTCCCATTTTTGTCTGCAAACCTGTCCTTCATCCTGGGCACATATTTTGGGCTGACTTGGCTCTGCATCCAGTCTTGACTTTCTCCCAGCCTCCTTCTGTGTCCACAGGCATCCTGAATCCCAGCAGAAACAATATTTGTCATCACCGCCTCAGTCTGCAAAGAACTTTCACTTCTCCATTTCTATCACACAAGTGTGTTATGTGTCATCTGTTTCAGTACCCAGTTCAAAGCTGCCTTGCTCTTTGTCTAGACAAACTTCAGTGGATTCACACCGACAGGTCACTGATGTGATCTCTCTGCGCTCTTTCATCTCCCCCCTGCAGTGGCCTTTGGGTCCTTCCAGTACAGCCTGCCCTGCCTTGCTCTCCTCTGCCCATTCTCCCTTTGGAAGTGGCCATGAAGCTCCTGCTCATCTCCTTTCCTATATGGGTTAAAATACTTTGAATATAAGTCTCTCCCCTTACATTTTTATTTTAGCTCTGTTCTTTAACTTTGGGGAGCACTGGTGATGTGCTGAAGTCACAGACACTGGGCATTTTCACATTATCCTTCCACCATATTTTGCGCTGTAGATGGATATAGGACTTGATAATGCTAATATAACAAGAACAGACACTTGCTCTATTAATAAAAACTGCTGAGATGCAAACTGTGACAAGGGCTACCTACCCACAGATGTTGTAGATTCCCTCTGTAACATAAAGTCTTCAAATCAAGGCTGAAAGTGTTTTTAAGAGATGATCTATAACTCATCCAGAAGCTATTGGCCTGATGCAGATATCAGTTGGTGAAGTTTTGTAGCCTGTTGTATGCTGAAGCTGAGGCCAGAAGATTGCAATGCTCCCTTCAGGCTTTGAAATCTTGGACTCCACAGAGCTCACATTGTTTGTTGGATATGTTCTATCTAAAAAGAAGCCTTCACTCACACATAAGAAGCTCCTGATGTCTATTCCACTGTCCTGCTGAAAGTACCATTTTCTTTACATGCCAGTGTATTGATTTATAAATAATCACTGGAGATACAAAGTGCACGATGACAAGCAGATTATGGCACCTGTCATGCCCACTGCTAAATGCTCTCAGCTGGCAGCTGCTGGCTGAGTTGCTGCAGCCCTGAGCAGACCTCTCTGTTTCTGCCTGCTCTGAATTACCCTGGTAGCTTCACGCTGCACCTCCTAACCCCTGCATGACGTCCTCCTCCTACTGAAGGGCTAAAATGGGGCATAGGAAAGTAATGATGGACATCCTTCACAAAGCTGCCATGAATGTACATAAATATTTGCTCGATTCACTGTGACTGCTGGGTACCTCGTTAGCCATTTAATTTTAATACTAATTTTTGGATGAGGTTGTCCTGCTTAGCTTTAAATAATGCTTTGGCATATAAGCACCTCAGGTAAATTATACACCATGACAAAGGGGTTTCTCTGATGCATTGTCCTTTAACTATGTTAAGTGTTCCCTTCTCTTGGTTTGCAAAATCAGTTTGATGTTCTTTCCATCATCAGGTGACACAGTAGTCTGCCTTGTTTAAAGAAAAGTGTGTGTGTTTGGAGGGAAATCCTGGGAGATCTAGTTTTGTACCATCAAGTCTTCAAATACATTTAAAATTTGGAAGCTCAGTGGTGAGCTTCCAAAAATCATCCCCTCTATCTACTGAAGATAGTAGATAGAATGGGCAGTTCTGGGAGAGGGCTTAGTCTATAGCAAGACAGTAGGAGAAACTCTCTAACAGTAAGTGTTAGGACAGGATGACTGTCCTCTGTAGGACAGGCATTAGGATAAGACACCTATCTTGGAGATACTTCATTGGGTAGCTTAAGGACATTAAGAACAGG